AAGAGCATTAAGTATCTTTCTTTTAAAAGACATTAAGTTAGTTTAGGTGATTCCTCTGAAAAACAATTTATTGAACAATTTTCCTTGAACTTTCCTTAAAAGTTCCTCGCAAATGTCTGTTTGAAATGATACATAAATTTTGGAAAGATAAGTCGCTGTGCTTGTTTAGGAGATATAAGTGGCCAAACATACCCCATTTATACCTGTACTGGCACTAACAATGTGTGTCATTTAATCAGTTCATGGTACATTATGCTGCAGGTGGAAGCTAGGGTTTTTTAAGTAACCCTTGAAAGCAACTTGATACAATAGGTAGAAAGTTTGGAGCATATGGAACAATTTGATAAATAATTTATGGGAAAATGAGGCAAATTTAAATGACATAGACTCAAAATGTTCATTGAGTTGTTCCTTTCAAGATCATAATTTGCATGCTCAAATAAAGAGCTATGTGCATGCTTTTAGCCTTATCTTTTTTTCCCCTTGAAGCATTTTTTTAAAATCCCCAATTTAAAGGGAATAAATGGTACACCAAAATTATGCAATAAAAAAATATAGGTCACCTTGCTTGTATAAGAGCTAAAGACCTTCATACCTCTTTAACCTGGTCCATGGATTGAAAAACAGTACCATGTTCTCAGAATACACATGTGCTCTTTCCCCCTGACTACATGATTTTAATGCACATCACAGGATATGCGTTGATAAACTGAGGAATCACCTTAATGTTTTCATGCATTTTAACTCTAAATCAAGACACTAAGAATTGGTTGAACTGCATGGAGTTTTCTTCTGGGCTCATCAAGGCAAGAAAAATGGGGGTTAGTTAATTTTATTAATTAGGGTAAGCAGTGGCCAAATTAATCCAGTCATTTGAGTGAATTTTTTTTCATGGTATGAGATAATTAAATGCTCATTTTTTAAAGGCAGATTGAAGTGATAATGATAATGATAATGATGCTGTGATGACTTAAGCAGCAAAAGTTTGGGTGCAATCAGGACAACATGCTAGATTTGTTTGAACTTTTTCTAAGGAAGCTACTTCATAAAAGCAAAAATAAAAATTCTTGGGTAATCTGTTCTAAAATTTTTGGTGGCACGATCTGTCTGTGACTATTAAGTAAAGGAAAATCGCTGTTGAGAATGACAAGTAGATACCATTCTTTTTTAAATTAATGTAAAACTAGGAGAAGAACCCAGCAATGAGAAAAGATAGAGTAAAATATAATGCATGTAACATGACTTTTCTGACACATGGACGGTCTCATTTTGAATGATAGGTGTTTTAATCCTAGTGCTCAATTAGACTCAGTTCAAGCCCAGTTGCTAAATAGTTTCAATGATCTTTATTGTTCTCCTTGGACGTTAATTTCACTACACCTTGTATCTTGAAATATGTTGAATGTTATTGTACATGTGACATTCACATGAATTTTGCCAGCATTATTGGAGACATTGTGGTGGAGAGGTTAGGGCACTGGACTTGTACTCTTGCGGTACTGGGTTCAACTCTTTACCCTGTTGTTCACTGGATTTGTTTTTGGTTGCCCCTAGTTTAACTCCTAGCCTGCACTTTGTAAAAAGCAAACTGGCTAATGCCCATGTCCAAAATATCACAAGTTGTGGATAAAGATTCTCACTTCAGATAACCAAGGGCATCACTGGTAAACATTGCTAGCTCTGTGGTGACTGGTTTTTTTTGTTTAATATTTCACAAATTACTGAGGTTCTACAGACAAGTTACAGAGCATAGTAAATAAGTACCATTGGAATCACTCACTATTCTGGAAAGTTGATTGATTAACACTGAGCTTGAAGAACCACAACAGACAGAATTGCCCTTATGATACTTTCACAGAAGACGAAAAACAGTTGGATTCCCTTTAGGACATGTATAAATCAGCTCAGGACGTGTTGCAGAAACAGGAAGAGCAAGAAATGGCCATTAAGAAATGTAGGAACAAAGTGGATGACTGATGAAATGACAATGTTTCAAAGGATTATTACAAAGGATGCTACACCTAAACAAGTGAGTAATACTTAAGCATGAACTTTTGAGTCAACTGTTAAAATCAATAGCTTTTCTTACTGTTTAAACAGGTACCACTGATCAGCACCACAATGATTTGATTTGATGCCCTCATGCCATTAAAGCACCCCTTTCTAATAAGCATCCCCCCTCAATAATCACCCCTCTGATAATCACCCCCTCTGATAATCACCCCCTCTGATAATCACCCCCTCTGATAATCACCCCCTCTAATAAGCACCCCCTCTAATAAGTACCTCCTCTTGTAAGCACCCTTCCTAATAAGCACCCTCTCTAATAAGCACCTCCCTCCATATTATGTAAAGAGGCTGCTGGTTGTGACCTACCAATCCTATCATGGTTCAAATACAGAGGAACTGAATATTCTCCTCTCTAAGGCAAAACCCAATTACAGTTTAAGGAATTCTTTAAATATAGAAGTGCCAAGACTAAGATCTGAAATTGGCAGGTCCTCTTTTAGCAGCACTATTCTGTTTCAGTGGTAATAATGTTAGTGTACCTGCACATTCAGGGTGAAGGTGGTTCATCTTCCTTTAATTTCTTAATCACTTACTTCAAACCTTACTATACAAAAACAGTGGTCTTCGTCTCAGTCTCTCAACTATAATGTCCATGTGTGTGCACAGTTCCTTCAAACGAATGATCTCGCTCCAGGGACAGCATGTCCGTTCACCAGTCTTCTTGATCCTTTTCAAACAAACGTCAAAGCTTTTTTTGGCATAATTTGCTGTTTCCCGAGAATTAAATAGTGCCGTGTCTCTTAAAAGCGCCCCGTTTCGAATAAGCGCCCTCCCTCTAGGCATCAATAGTTAATAAGTGCTCCGGGCGCTAATTGCGCCCGGAGCACGAATCATTACGGTATGTACAAGAAAACTCAATATCGCTGAGCTTTTTTCATACTTGATTTTTTTCCTTGACGAAGAAAAGCTATAAAGTTTGCCAAAGCGAAAATGGCTTCTGACCTTTCAGGCTCTTAAGACGAGGATGAGGGAAAGAGTATAGCAGGAAGAAAAACAGCAAAAAGGGGAGGGGAATTAATACAGTAAAAGAGGAGTTGCATGTAGATATACATGCCAGTGGACTACTAAACTTTCTAATAGATTTAATTTTTTTTCCAGGGCATAAAGATGGTTTCTGGGAAAACGTCGTGGTCAATTTAGCAATGGCAAAGAAGAAGCTTGAAAAATGCTAATACACAAATTCATATGAGCCATATTTGAGAAACTTCTTCATAGACTTCTACAGCTATTTTTCTCAACTGAGGCCCTTGACCTAGTGTCAGAGTTAAAAAAAAAGATTTTGCTTTATAAATAAATCAACATTATTTCTTCATGATCTCTTGGTCGACTTTGGTCTTGGTCGTTTAAGGTAGTAAGAAGTACATTATTATAAGATAATGACATTGACTGTGCCTTATGATTTTCAGATTTCTCTTACCAGTTTAAGGATATCAGCTAAATGGAAATTCAATCACCAGTTTAAAGGTATCAGCTGAATGGAAATTCAATCACCAGTTCCAAAAACCATATAATTTCCATCTTAGCTAATGCGGAGAAGTGTATCATTATGAAATGATGACATTGACCACGCTTTGTCCCCCAATGATGATCTGCCTTAACAATTAGATGCCACAAAAACTTTATATTTTTGATGCGAATATTGACCTTTTCTTTTTTAAGGTCAGAGTAGCTGCTGCTTGTGAAGCGCTCGCCGCGGTTTTCCCGAGTCGATAGCTTGCGGCCAGATTACTATGTTGATTTTGAAAATGGCAGCGTCGATAGTCAACTTCTTAACTCTTGAATTTTTTTGGCTTTGAAATCTGAAACACGGAAGTAGAGGTGTAATTTTTAGATACACTTTTATAAGCAAAGAAAGAAATCACTCGGTAACAGATCCTTTAAGAAGAGTAGATAGTACTGTTGTCTTTCCACTGCTGTCATCAAACCAATGATCATCAAAGAGGTAAGTCTATAATAGTTAGATCGGTTCTTTTAAACCTTGTCTATCGGCTTATCTGCGTACATCACTCAAATCCATTTTGTTGAAAGTGAATCCCAAGAATGAGCTAGATGTTTCAAGAGAGAATAAAAACCATTATTGTCTCTTGACTATTTCAAGTGATTTGTCAATAAGAAAATTTCCCAGAAAGTGGAGACATTGATAAGCTTACGCGTAAACTTACCCTCCCCCTGCCGAGTACGGCTACACGTAGGCTAAACATGCACCAATTTTGAAGAAACTTACTGCTGATGATGGCCTTAATAAGATAGTCGAAAAGCTTTAAAATTGTTGGCTGTGTAAAAATAATCTTATTTCTATTCAAAAGAGTCCAAAAAAACTGCGAATACTTGTGGAATATTGGGAAAATGGCTCTAAAGTTGTGGGTGCTTTCGATTGGTAAATCCGAATTAGAATTTTGAAATACAGATTTTGTATTTAAAAATGAAAAGCAAAAACGGATTTCGATGATGAAAAATCTGTCCTCAAGATGGATTTTCATTAAAAAATCCAAAGCTAGTTTTCTTTTCTTTTTACAGCCAACGGTTAACCTCACTTAGACCCCTCTTAGAAGAGATCCTTTTTGGATTTCCCGGAAAAAGGCAAAAAGGCTGGATTTCTTAATTGAGATCCACTTTGAGGATGAAATTCCCAGCGTTGAAAGACGTGTGTTACCGCAAAATCCGAATTCCCGATTTCAAAATCAAAATCCGGATTCGTCGAAGTTAAGCAAACAGATTTCTTTAAACACGGAGTCTTCTCTCTGATTGGTCTAGACTACATGTAGCTCTCGACCCAGTTTCTTAAAAGCCACATTCAAAATGGCGCATGAGTTGCCGTGAATTTAGAACTGACAGAATCGATGTCGCACTGAATAGTCGGTTTATTTTGACGGGTGTGTTATGTTTGATAACGTATGATGGTGACCTGTTCTAAAAAACTTGTCTCATCTTCACTTTATACATCGGATGTGTGAGGTAACGTCTTTCTTCCATGATGAAATTCTAATGTTTACAAGGAACCCCTCAACAGGTGAGAGATCTTCAAAGAACTTTCAACCGATTCAATGTCTATGAAATGTATCTTACTACAAAGGAGCATTACGTACCAATTTTTTAACATATTTTGAAAGCATCGATCACCGAGGAATGGGGTGATGGACAGAACAATGTCCTTCAGTCCATGGACAATTAACCCCGTTGGACAACTCAAATGAACTACCCTAGCAATTTCACCAACCCTTCGATGTTTTTTCGTTTCGTTTTCGTCAGTCACAACGAACACCACGAAATTTAGGCGATTATTTTAGAAATTCAAAATCCTTCCTTCGAAATATAGCGTGGTCCAAGTGATGTTACATTCTTCAATGTCGGTCACGAAGTAAGGCGAGAAATCGGTAATATGAAATGTCCTCTAGTATTAATATAGATTGACGCTGATACAAAATGTATTTATAGGACTTGCACAGCCATTTTAAGCTGCTTTGTATACATACTTATGGTCAAGAAGGGCAAACCCTTTTTTCTATTTTTTAGTGATTTTCTTTTTCTTAATGAGTTTAATATTTTATCATGGTGATTTATTGCAACGATGATTGCTTATCACAGGTTGTTAAGCATTAAAATAAGAGCTCAAAATTAATAGAAGGTTGATCCCTTTTACAAAATTCGAATTTCTGATTGTGTTCCTTAAAGTTATTTTTAGTTATGTTCTGCAGGCATTAAACATTCTCCCCTCAAATTTTGAATTAAAAGGTTGAAATGTTAATTTCTCTGACTTTTGGAATATCTCACCTCAGTATCTTTTTCAACAAGTTTCATCATAATCAGTTGAAAATCCCACAGCATGTTTCTGTTCTGGAACATTTTCTTGTGGACAAAGAGACTTATATGTAAGAATGTTTGTTATTCATAAACTGTGTGGTGTAGAAAATGAATTTGACATAACACTAAATGAACCTTAATTTGTAAAACTTCTTTCAAAATGAAGAATTTGCAATTATTTAGAGCAAATAACAGCCTTTCAAACAGAAACACTTTGCTTGAAGATTATAGTTACCTTTGCATTTTCATTCCAAGAGAACTTATGAATTGGCATGATTTATTTCATGCGAAAGAGATTAAACTGGAAAAAAGAAGAGCTTTCAGTATCTTTCTTTTAAAGTCATTAATTTACTTAACATATTTTCATGCCTTTGAACTCTGAATCAGGACATTAAAAATTGGTTGAGCTGCATTAAGGTTTTTTCAGGGCTCAGTGAACTTAGTGAACTTTCATCTTAGTTTTGTTTTAAAACCGACTTGCCAACTTGGCACAAGCGGGACTGATGTGTGAGTACCTTTGTAAATTTGTTTTTTCTAATTTAGTTTTCCAGCATTGGGCAAAAGTATTCAAACAGATATTTTGTTGTAATGACACATATTCAATTGATTTGAGATTTTAAAGGTCAGAATTGTTTCCAATGCACCAGCCACCATTTAGATAAGGACGATAGGCTGTTACCAGCTACCAAATTCTTGTAACTCTTTGTACTTTAATGTAGTTTGTATTGGTTTATTTGTATTGTTTATTATCATTTTAATCTCGTTATCGGCGTTCAGGCCCAGCTTTTTACACTCAATTTATTTGTTTATATATTTTGCAACATTTTGTTAGATTGTTAGAACTTCGTTGCATTATTGTTTCAGTTTACGATTGTTCAATTGATTGATTGACTGATTGTGAGATTGATTGTGATTTGTGGTTAGTGGATTGCTTGCAAGATTAAAGATTTGTGTTAATAGTCAACTTTGGTTTGTTACATTCTCTCGATTTGTAAAATAGCCCCAAACACCTCGCTAACTACATCTTGGAGCAACACCACTTGAAATCTTATGAATTAGATTTTTGATTGCCACAAGCATTACAGATAGAACCTGCATTCATCATCCAACCAGAATCATATCAGGATTTTTATGTTAAATCAACATTTAAGTCCTGTTATTTGTTTTCTCCTTGAACTGTTTTCATTTTATATTTTTTCTTAAGTTTGTTTGTGTTTTCCCTTGGCCCAATTGGCTTTAAAAACCAGGTTAATAACTATATGACAGGGTAAGCAGTGGCCAAATTAATCAATTTACATTGCATGAGATAATTACATATAAATGCTGATACTTTAAATGGCAGACTGAATTCATAATACTGCTGAGATGACTAAAGCAACAAAATTTTGGATGCAATGGACAACATGCAAGATATTTTTGAACTTTTTTAAGGAAGCTGCTTCGTGCAGGTTAAAACAAAAATTCTTTAGCTGTAAACTGCCCCTTATTAGCTTAGGCCCTTGGTTATAGGTCTGTCTACCTGTGAACAAAAAATACATTTGATTGTAAGCCTCCCCTCCCCCTCTTGGATATAAGCACCTCTCTAGCTTTTCTTGTTTTAGTGATAAGCAGGAAGCCACTGTTGTAAATTAGACATTATTATTTTAATTAAAGAAGCAAAGACAAACTTCAAGGAAATCAAAGTCTGAACTTCCTTTTTGTTATGTTCTAGTTTTGTTTGTGTTGTTAGTTTTTTTTTGTTCTAAATATATTGAAATTAGTTTGATTTATTAATGCAATACATATTTTGATCAGTGCTGCTATAGCTTGTGCTTTTTCTGTTCTGGTTAATTTAAACCCTGTTAGATATACATTGTGTTTGTATTGCCCTCCATTTGTAAGCCTTCCATTTATAAGCCCTCCATTTATAAGCCCTCCATTTATAAGCCCTCCATTTATAAGCCCTCCATTTATAAGCCCTCCATTTATAAGCCCTCTGTTTATTAAGCCCTCCATTTATAAGCCTTCCACTTATAAGCCCTCCATTTATAAGCCCTCCATTTATAAGCCTTCCACTTATAAGCCCTCCATTTATAAGCCCTCCATTTATAAGCCCTCCTAAAACCTCTTACAAAGTTGCACAAGCACAGGCATCAAATGTGTCAATTTATTGTATAGTATTTTTTTCTGAGTAATATGAGTCTACAGCTGTACATGTTACATTGTGTTGTGGTGGGTCACTAAAATGTGAATTACTATAACTACAGTAACTGTGAACTCTCAAAGTTACTGGGCAATGCATGGTTTTCAGTTGCACAAAACTAGAAAACTAGATGTCAATGCCCAGAAATAATTGTGGGTAAAATGTTTTGAGAAAGTGCATTCACAGGCTTAATATTATGCTAGCTTCACTTTTCAAAGCATGATTGCCTGAGGTTTGAAACCACCTTCTTCTCCCTCCCCTCCCTTATCAATTTTGTTGTGTTTAATTTTTCACTGTAAATTGTACATTGCATTAACGCTAATGTTATCTGAAAAAAAAACAGTCATTAAACAGCATTGAAAAATGAATAAGGACTCAAAAACAGTATACTATGCATGAATATGCTTAGACAGATGCTTAGTTTATATTTAGCTCTGTTGCATTAAATTTTTGTCCATGATTTTAGATTTCCTTATTTTTAACATTGTATTTTCTGGTTTTACCAAATTCTCAGTGTAAAAATGATATGAAATGTATAGCACAAAGAGTGAAAATTTATATTTAGATCTCAGAAATTAGAAAAGATAGAAATTTTTTTTTCAAAATTTTCTAATTTTTGTTTTATTTATTGTCATTGCTTTTAGTTATGCTGGGGACTGAGACTTTGCGTTATCTGTCAAGGGTATCAGTGTTGGTGTATCAGGGTGGACCGGGTGTTAGTCTTCTTTCTTAACAGACTGGTAAGTCGAAAATTAATTGAAACAAATTTTTGACAAGAAAAGTTGTTTTTTAGGTTGCCATAATTTATTACAAACTGAATCAGGTTGGATATTTAACAAATACATTCCATTTTGCAGTAGGTCTGTTCAGTTACAGACCACAGATGTCAAACTGTGGTAAGAAAAAAAAAAGTGGCTCTTAAGTTGCAGCCAAGTGTGTCTGAGTGTTTCAAGACTGTAATAAGGAATCCAATTGTTTTATATTATAAGGAAGCAAAATGTTGTTCATAGTGATGTAATCTATGCCTCTGTCCTCAGATAGATTGAAAGTAAGATCCAATCAAATTGGGTGTATGATTCAGCTTATTGTAAATTTTGTTTTTGTTTTATTCTTTACAGGACATAGACTTTGACTTAACAAACATGGAAAATATTCTTGATATTCCTAGTCTGAGGTATGCTTCACCCTTCAAAAAACTTGCACGGGCAACAGTAGATATACTCAACATATGATTAGTTGTAGTAAAGTAGACATGATTTATAAATTAAACTAATCTGGATTAGAGGCAATGTGAATTTCTCTAACTTCCCTATCCCTTTTTTTCAGTGACATATTCCTTAGAGTAATATATATGATGTCGTGGTGGGATTTGTGGTTTTCCCAAACAGGATCACAGTTCTTTTGACTGACATTGATCCGTATGAACTGGACTACCTCTTGCCTGATGCGAATCACTGGTACTTATCATTAGAATTTTCTTTCTGCAAATTGTCTCTTACTGTGCCTCAAAACATGTTTAAAACGATTATTTAAATTGAATAACTCAGTAGTATTGAGTACACCAAGTGTACACATAAGTGAAGTTTTTAAAGGTTTTTGACAATTGATTTTGCTTTCTCTTGTCACTCCAGGGTGTCCTTTGCAATGACGTCCTGGAAGCTAAATAGACTTAATCAAGAAAGAAATTGTTGTCACATCTAAAGGTTCTGCCGAGATCCAAATGTCATTCTCAGAGGTATGTATTAAATCTTATGGAGATTACTCTATTAGCTAAAGACATAAAAGAGCCCTAATGCCTGATGTGAGTGACTTGTACTTATCATTAGAATTTTCTTTCTGCAAATTGTCTTTTATTGTGCCTCAAGACATGCTTAAAACTATTATTTAAATTTGAATAACTCAGTAGTACTGAGTACACCAAGTGTACACATAAGTGAAGTTTTTAAAGGTTTTTGACAATTGATTTTGCTTTCTCTTGTCACTCCAGGGTGTCCTTTGCATTGAAGTCCTGGAAGCTAAATAGACTTAATCAAGAAAGACATTGTTATCATATCTAAAGGTTCTTCTGAGATCCAAATGTCATTCTCAGAGGTATGTGTCAAAGCTTATGGAGATTACTGTATGAGCTAAAGACATGAAAGAGCCCTTGCTGACCAGCAGTAATATGAATCCAAGTGTCTTTTGGTGCTTGTGTCACTGAAATTTTTCTGCCTCAGTTTCATGGAAGGTGAATCATACATAAAGTCTGAACTCCTCTGAAAATTTTACGTCTGTATAAACTTATTTTGATTGTTTATTCTGAATTAAATAGAATCAGCAATCAGTGAGGCACATATTTATTAATTATTAAGTCATTTTTTGGATTTCTCATTTGCTTTGCCTCCATGAGGAGATAAATTCATTGGGACAAGATCATTGCTTCAGAACACTAATGAGTATCTTACTGTATGTGCACCATAGCTCATGATGATATTTCTTTCTGTTGCCAGTGGGAGCCAAGACATTCCCAGTGAATCCAATATGGAATGAAGTGTTTGAGGTAAAGATTTTGGTGAGTTTGTGGTTCCTTGTCCATACTTCAAACATGGGATATTTCATTTCTGATTGTTTTGTTTCTGATTGTTTATGTGAAGGCCTTTGTGGACAACTCACATGGTCAGAAATGATAAAGATTGGTGTCTTTGATGAAGGCAAAGTGTCTGATGATGAATCTCTTGGAACATACAGTAAGTAATCATCCAAACAAGAATTAGTAGAAAGCAACTCATATCTACAGTTTTTACATGTATGTGACTGTTTTGATGTTGACAAATAATGTTTTATCTCCTTAGTGTTGAGGCTGACTTTGGTACAATTGTCCAACAAAGGCAATGTTGCATTGGTAAGTTGCAAATCTTTCGTTAACTAAAGAGTTGTATGTCATAATTAATAACCGGTGTTAGGAACCTTTTTTAACACTGTGTGATTTGATATAGCATCTAGAGCAATTTTTAATTGATTGTTGAATGAAACCAACCCTAGGATTGTACTGGGTTTACTTGTTCTTATGGTCTGTGATTGGTCTTGAAAACATGTGTTACCCTCTGAGCCAAACACATGCAAAGAGATAAAACTTATAGTGATTTGATCAGTGACACTTTCCTCTACTTTGGATACTTCACTTGTTTTTTTCTTTTAACTGAGTTTACATTCACAGGTTCATTTTAATAATTCTCCCTTCCTGATTGGCCATTGTGATTAATTATTGGTTTAAACACTCAGATTAAAACTCCTAGAAGTGATTACCATGTAACTTTTCTCTATAGTATCCATACATTATACAGCAAACAGGTAATGAGAACACTCAAACTCATCAGGTACAATTTACAGTATTACCTTGATTGAAACCTAATTCTCATAATCAATTTACAAGGAAATGTGTAGTAGCCAGAGGGGAGAATTGATGATCAGATCTTGAGAGTTGAAGGGTTAAATTCACTCAGTTTATTCTAACCTGTAATTATGTAATTTTTGAATACAGTGGCTTCCACTAGAGAATGTGAAGAGTGGCCAGATCAACTTGAGATGCACATGGTTCACACTGACTGCCAAACCAGAGGATCTCTCACCGGTAAGTTCACAGTCAGCCTAACAAAAGGGTTGTTTTCATTTATGAGGACAAGTTGAATAGAAAAACCAAATCAGTGCAGTGCAGTCAAAGAATAGTAAATGGAAAGCAGAAGTTGTGGACCTGTACTTTTGAGAATGGGTGTGTGAGTTGGTTCCTTCTGTGTGTTTCAAGGCTCAGAAACAACTTTTCACCATTTTCTGTCTGTAATGTTCAGCACTTCTAACAACTTTGGCACACTTTGGAAGTACAGTAGTCAGTGAGAGAACTTATTTTTTTTACTGACTGGCCATGCTCAAAAAAACAGGACCAGTTTAGCAAGAACTGCACCTTGGTCCTTTACATATGTAAGCAGGACCGACCATTTGTTTAGGCAGACCAAGAGGCAAAGATATTATTTGCTTGTTTATTAGTTTTGTTTTTTGTGTACAGCCTGACCAAGCCATTATTGGTGAGGAGATGTTAGCGACAGCAGCTCTTTTTGTTAAACTGGACTCAGCCAAGAATCTTCCCTAGAGTAAGTGTGTGATGTGGTCTCTTCTTTATTTGATAGAAAAGAAAATAAGAATGCAAAATCTCTGCTTCTCAAAATACACTGCAAGACCACACAAAGTGTGAAAGGTCACTGTTGTTAAGTTTTAATGTAAATTATAATTTTTTTAGGTAACAAATGCTGCCTGTGGCACCACAAGTGCATTCTGCAAACTTACTGTTGGAAATATTACTTACCAGAGCAAGGTAGGTCACACTTTTGATTGATCATCCATAAGCTATTGTTTTCCTGTGTATCATCACTGAATTGTCACAGATCCAAGGTCCCACAGGTTGGCACACTATGCTGTTGATCTACAGGATAAGGGAGTTTAGTTTCCAAAAAAACAACTGTGCTTTGGTTTTATTTACTCAGTTGATAAAACTAATGGTAGATGTTTCCCATACCATTTACATGTCAGTTTTGCTTGTTGACTTATTGAAGGAAACTCTTATTACTGTTGTTTCTTACTGTTACAAGTACATTTCTCTTGTGTTGGTGTAATGGAAACCACATATCATAGAGTACACAGTTGTTTTATGTAATTTGATCATAACCAGATCAAGCTTTCAGTAGTGATGCTGGGCACCACTATTTATAACCCCTGTCCAAATCTTTTCTTTTTAGCATTTGAAGACAAATGAGATTTCCCTAGTTTTTGTTTTGAATTTTGGCCTCATAGCTCAATTAGTGCTACTGCACTCAACTAGTATGTAGGAGGTGTTGCTGGCTTCTTTTCTGCAATTGCTTAAATTACAGTCCACCTGCAACGACCATTGCCTGATTTTCATCTGCAGCTCAAATAAAATTAATTTAAAAAAAAATTATGATTAGAATTGTTAATGTGAAAGGAGAACCCCTTAAAACTTGCCTCTCAATGAGTGTCTCTGTACCTCAGTTGCTAGGAGTGGCCAACCAGTATCTTGAAGGCTCTGCGGGTTCAAATCCTTTCAAAGCCTGAATTTTTTCAGGTTTCTTTTCTGCAGTTTCTTATTAATAATAAATTACAGTCTACCTGTGAGGATCATTTCTTTGCTTGAATTTCATCTGAAATTTATTCCTTTCAAAATTATGACTTCTGAAATAACTGAACAACTAGTTAATGTCTCCATTTGCTAATAGGGATATAAACTGAGATCATTTCTCTCTTGTAATTGCTGCTTTCTTTATAGCAACTGACACAATGTCAGTTGGTGAGAAATAGATTACTGACATGTATTTGGAACCAGCTGTAGAGGTTTGAAGTAGGTTTAACAACTCAGAGAAAAAGATTATATCTTTGATTATTCCTTTTAAAATTGTGGAAATTCCTGAAATGGTCATGAGCATCAGACCTTGAATAACTCTCACTAAAATGGGGAAGAAAGAGTATAGTCAGCTGTAGAAATAAATAATCAGACCTTGATCTCATATCTTACATGTACGTCATTTTTATCCCATAAAAGCGGACTCAGTACTCGTAAAAACGTAGAAGATGGATTCAAGCTGTTGTGTCCGAGGCGGCTCGTGTAAAGTTAACATGCCATCTTTCTTCACGTGTCCATTGAAGAGAGTCGCCTGGAAAACTGATTCAAAATGGCCCTTTGAACGTTCCAGTTTCGTTTTATAACACGGAGGACTGCAGAGTGCTGACCTCGCCTTTCAGTAAAAGAAGAAGCCTAGCAGGCAGCGCGCTCTTGAGGCTCTGACTGCTCCACGTGATCGGCTGGGCCTGCAAAAACCACAACTGCAACGGCAACGGGAACATTACTAAACATAAGGTTTAATGAATAGAACAATGGCTTTGTAGGTGCGTTATAAATTTTTCTAAATTTCTCTGCGTTCTCTGCAAAACTACAACGTGAAATCACCAAACTCTGCGTTTTTTGGAGAACGTGACCGACGACGGCTAATTTTTTAATTTTCTATTTCTAATTTAACGGTGTTCCTTATTTAGTTTCACATAGATTTAACTGTGAAAAACAAACTAAACGATTTTAGAGTAACGCGAGACTCGTAGGTAAAATAGAGGTTCACTTTTTAACCGACGTTGTCCACGGCATCGCCGTCGTCGTTTCTTAAACTCGCTATTGTTCATGTGTGGCATGCGATTTGAACAATAAATTAGCGAACTATGGCACAGGAAGCTAGTTTGTAGTGGTTTTTGTTATGGAATAGACACGTGTAAGTAGGTTGAGTGAGTCTGTGAGTTTTAGTCTTTCTAAGTGTGTCTTTCGGAATCAATCAATCAGTGTTCGTCAACAAAGTCAAAGTGTTTTTAAATAACATGTTATCTTCCAATATCCTCTGACTTATGTCGCCTCCAATTGTTCTAATATTTCGTTATAGGTGCGCGGTGTGCGCTGCCTCCCAACCGTTATCCAGTTTCTTACACCGTTTCTTAACAGGATCTCAACTAAGAAATCCATCTCAGCCATTTGGATTCAAATCACACCTTCAAATCATCCCTTGTTCTGAATGTAGTATTACGTCATGCTATAGAAATGCAGCCGATCGAGAATAGCTATGTATACCTTGGCGGCCGTCGGTTGAACAGTGGTTTCTAGTAATGTTATCAGGAAGTCCTCACCGGTTCCAATTTCCCGCCGAAAACAAGATGCCTAGTGCGACGGTTCCCTAACTTCCTTTTCACTTTCTTTTTGTTTTTTGTTTGTTTGTTTTTTTTTGGGGGGGTACGGCTACACGCAGATTAGGGTTTGTTATATCGAAAACCTCGATTTGACGAATTTGCGGAAAAACAACCAAAATGTTCGTTAAATCGAGGGATGGTTAAATTTTTTTTCGGTGGTGTGACGTCGGGCATTTCGGGATCGGAACGATTACTGAAATTAACATTTGTGCGTTAATATCTACATGAAGCTACAGTACGCTGTACAGGTCTGTACATAGCTACAGCACCTTGTTTTAAAAGCACGGAGGACAAATTTCAGTGGAAGTCACTGGCAAATAGAGAAACAAGGGTATTAAAGAGGTAATTCCTGCCTCTTACAAGTTAACTACAAGAAGCCTTATTGTAACTAATAAGAGACAGAGAGGATAAAGCGGATCTGTAGATGTGTCAATAGTGTCAGTGTCGGCATTCGTGGGATTTATGATAATCACAAATCTCGTTGTTTTGTCATTGCGTTACTGGCTATCTTAGAATTTTCTATTATACTGACGCAAATGTACGTAACGGCCATTAAGTAATAATATATACCATCCGACATACTTAGTGGCTTCAAGAAATGCTCGTATGTATAGACGAACGAAATTACGAATTTCGCCGGTATCTTAACGCCGTCGGCATTTATAATGAGCTGTTAACTGTGATGTTCTACTGTTATAGAATTGAAGGATTGTTGGTCTGCTTCACTTTTGTCTTTTGTCATGTGTTTAAATTTGTTCGTTATATCGGGGTATATTATACGTTTGGGCTTCTGGATTGTTTTCGTTTTACAAGGATTTCGTTATATCGAGGTTCTTTCCTATACATTTTACCGTAACTTTGGTCGGGCTGAAGACTATCGTTCGTTACATCGAAGAATTCGTTATATCGAAGTTCGTGAAATCGAGGTTCCACTGCGCTTTAAGTTGCATCAGGCCTCGGAGACCAGTGGAATTCTGGTTGCATGGTTCTTCTGGCTCATACTAAATTTAACTGAGTGTAATTTTCAGGGGAGAGGGATATGTCTGATGCTATGAGCACATCCTCTCACTTTTACTTTACTTCCTTTTTTTTGAAGTGAAGTTGCAATTAATTTTTTCACAAAACAACAAAATTCTCACACAATAAATTATCTTGAAGACACTTTGTTTACATATATTGAAGTAGCTGAATTTTATCTTCCTTACACATAAAAATTAGAAACCAGCTTCAGTTTTTGTTTCTTTAGTCTTGGAAATTTGATAGAATAAACCATTGAACTTTTTTGGCAATAAGTAAATCAACAGAAAAGTAAAATAACATCGGCTTCGTTGACATCCTTCAATGGTTTCTCCCAAAGATAAGATTATAATGGAAAAGTACCTTTGTTATTCAAATTCTAACTAAACATATGGAAGTAAAAGATGATTGTTTAATTTTGTTTACTACAGTTTTGAATATTTAATTCCAAGGATAACGGCCGCCTGATAGTATTAACGAACTTGGAGGATTAGTTAACAACAAACTGAACTGTTAAATCGTGAAAAATGAAAAATAGTTATATATCTGAGTTTTAATGAAGATGATGCTGAATGGAGATGTGCAATATATATCACAGCCACAGTAATTATTTACCGTGGCTACAAACTGATGACTGGGTTGAATTTTATTTTGTGTCTTTTGAAATGTTTACATGTTCAACTTTCTTAAAATTATTTTCTATGGCACCATGTAGGTATCTGACTATTTTAATTCTGGTCTTATAGACTTAATTATTTAGCCCAAATAAATAAATTTAAAAAGCGTTAGGGATGTATAAATTACCTAAAGTGAATTTAAAATGAGACAACCTCTACTTTTATTACTTGCGCAGCTTTAAACATCTGTGTGGGCTTTTTTATCAACTGATTTGAGAATAGAATGATTTTTGTGTTGGCAAATTTGGCGACGTTATATAAGCATGCATCCCTCAATAGTAGGCCGGGAGACAATCGCATGATATTTTTAGCAGCAAACAGAAGTCCACTTTATGAAATACGGTGGACTAATCAGGTTCTTTTTTTCTTTTGTCTAAATAACCAAGGAATTTTCGTTTTGTAATTGTATATTTATATGGTTTTGACTTAGGTTGACTTCCGCATTTTTAGAAATAAACCGGTCACTTGACCTGAAATTGGTTGTTAACAGGGAAAGATCCTTGAAGAGAACCTCTTGACTATACCTTTAGACCCCTACTCTCGTCAATGTTATTTCCAAGTATTCTTTCGCCCCCCCCCCGCCCTCTATCAAATAAAATGATTGCTATTCAGCCAAAAAATTCACGGTTTTTTAGAGTCCAATTTTCCCTCGGAAAGTTCTGATTAAATTCTCAAGTCTCGGCTGCTTATGGCAGAGCTTCTCCCACTTTCTTTGTGTCTTTGTAGTATGTCCGCGCGTCCTCTCATGACTGAGACGGTCCTGTTTTGCACGTAACACTGTGGCATTTTGGGAAAGATTAACAATTTACTAATATTTCTAATGAGTAAGGAGTAAAGAACAACTCGGAGAGCCTTGACACCAGTCAAACTAGGAGCAAAATAACCAGCTGAGACAAACAGTTCCCTCTAAAGTTTCTCGTTCACTTTCGTTGCGTTCCGCTGAACACAAACATAGGCGCATGCGTACACTTAAATGAATTTTTATAGATGAGTCAATTTTCAACAAGCCTGATTTCTATATGAAATGTCCTGTTAAGCTGATCAAAAATGAGAAAGTTGGGCAAACAATAATAACTGAATTCTGTGTCAAGTTCTTCGTTAGGAGAGGAAGTGCAACAAAATATGTGAATATTTCAGTGAAATCTTTCACGGTCTCCCAAAGTCTTCACGCAAAAAAAAAAAATTGACGATTCTCAATCAGCTTTTTATTTATTTATTTTTTCGAGGTATTTTAATTTTGCGATTCTGAGGAGATAATATTTGACGGGGTTTTGCGGGGTTTTTTTCGCGATTTCAAAAGGCAAATATTTAAAAGGGACATTGAATTTCACGACTCAAGCGCTCTCAATTTCATTTAAATTTTCAATCTGTCAATTTTGACGGCCGCACGAGATATATCCTAAGGAATTTGTACGAATTAAGAGAGCGATAAAGATGAAGATGAGCGCTGGATTCTCTGCATCATATGCTAAATCCTTGCAAATGAACGTCATTTCACAATGGAAGATAAAAATAGAAGTTACCAGTACATAAGACCAGTTAATGATTTGTGTATTTGTTAACACATATCCTCTAGATTTTGTTGTTATTAAATGTTGATCACTTTTTTTCTGTGATTTCAATTTTTATAGGAAATAATTAAATTACTATAGAGCGTTTAAGATTCCGCATCAAATTTTTATGCGCAGATCTTAAATTATGACAAATGGTGGCACAAAAGGTGCTTATTTTTCTTCAATATGAATTTAGATGATGTAGCCTAATAACAATTTTAAGCAAATTTACTGGGACAAAAGGACTAATAAACAGGGTTAAAATACAGACAAGCACGTGAATACACAGAAACACAAAAGAATAATATATAACATTGTAAACATGCTTTTTCATTGTGTTATCTTTGAATTCGCTCTCGTCAAGGTTAAAACGTTTTTTGTCGTCATTAGGGTCACTTAGTTCGATCCTTTTTTTTCTTGTCAACTTCATTTATTTATTTATTTATTTAATCATTATTTTTACGCGGTAAAAAAAATTCATTAGGTAAAAAAATTCCAATACAATAACTTATATCCTAAGAACCTAAAAGTCCTTATCCTAACATTATATCAACTTACAACAATGTGCCACTTAAAAACCTGATTGCCATGAATGCCGTGTTTAAAAATTATGATAAATAAGGCGTTTAAATTGGTTTAATGAATCAGACTCTCTAATGTTACAAGGTAAGCTATTCCAAAGGGTTGTGCCGCTGTAACTAAAACTATTTTCATGTTGATAGTTCTTAGAAAGAGGACAAAAAGTTTGTTTACCGAGCATGTTTTTAATACAATATTACTGTTTCTTTAATATAACTTAAAATTACATTAAAGGTTAGTCTTGCTTGTGAACAGTGCTTAACTTAAGACACCGAGTCTTGGAATCGATTTTCGGTTTACCAAGTTGAAGGAATAAATGTTTTGATTCACAGATTAGGATGAAGTATTGGCGGGTTTTAAAACTTCCTTTCCAAAATAAGAATGAGACATTTGAAATGCTAATTATTAAACAAAGAGGAAATGACAGGAGGGGCCAGAGGCTGACTTCATTTTGTGAAAGATTTTCTCCTCTGAAAAAATGACTTACGTTATTATTTTGCCACAACTAGTGCGAATACTGTTTTTGTTTTTTTCTTTTTTTTCCAGTTCAGATTTGTTAAGCACGTTGAGAAACTCTTCTTCAGAGGCTACCTGAGATAAATATATGTCGAGCCTCCACTCTAGCAA